CATCTTTTTACTAAAATAAGAATCATGTCAATATTGCAATGGAACTTAAATGGATACTATGTCCATTTAAACATGGTAAAAAACTGATAGCTGATTATACACCAGATGTGGTTTGCCTCCAGGAAACGCATTTCCACGACACAAAATCACACTCACCCAAAAACTATGCAGGATTTTTCAAAAACAATCAAAGACCCACAGCCAGCGGTGGAGTCTCAATATACCTCAAAACGGAGATACCTGTCCGACCAATTCCATTGAATACAAACCTACAAGCTATAGCTATATCTATAGACCTCAAAGATGTACTCAACATATGTAACATTTACATCCCACCAGACTACCATTTGGAACCTGCCGAATTCCAAGCTCTTTTACCAAACCCAGCCCTAGAATAATATTAGGAGACTTCAACGCCCACAGCATCTCGTGGGGCTCTTTTAAAAATGATCCTAGGGGAGAATTATTCAAGGAAGCACTTGAGACGAACAACCTAGCCTTACTTAACGATGGAAGCAGCACAAGGTTTGATGCTGCTTCAGGGAGATTTTCTACCATCGACTTAAGCGCATGCTCGCCGAGCCTTCTGACGCATCTGAATTGGACCACTGCCGATGCCTTATATAATAGCGATCATTTTCCTATTGTCATCTCAGATTCAAGAAACGATAGAAGTGATACGATACCACCAAATAAATGGAGATTAAAAGAGGCCAACTGGACTGATTACTCGCAATATATAGACAACAATATTAACAACATACATTTAACCGAAAATATAAACATAATAATAGAAAAGTTTAATACCTTAATCACCAAAGCAGCACAACAACACGTTGGGAAAACAAAAACCGCCAAAAAGAAAAATCCAGTCCCTTGGTGGAACCAAGAATGCGAGACAGCACTCAAAGAAAATAAATCAGCTCTAAATAAGTACAAAAGACACAAAACGTCTGAAAACCTACGTGGGGATCAATTATCAGTCCGACACTTTTTCTAATTACAATCAATGACATCTTGGATAATATGGAGAAACCTGTCCAAGCCAGACTCTGCGCAGACGACACGATAATTTACGTAAGAGGCAAAAATATTGAAACCAGTGCCCAACTCTTAAAAGTGCAGTTATCGAAATTAGAACACTGGTCACTGGTCCAATCAGACAGGCTTTTCGTTTTCTCCCAGCAAAACAAAATGCATCATGATCTTCAGCAAAAAATGTGAACAGAATAATCCATCACTACAAATACATGACACATCGCTAGAGTACACGGATGAAATCAGGTTTCTAGGAATAACATTTGACAGACGTCTAACATGGAGAAAACATATCACTCAGCTTATTCAGTCTTGCCAAAGGAGAATTAATGTGTTAAAATGTCTAGCACATAAGCACTGGGGAGCAGAAAGCAAAACACTTTTAACCATTTACAGACTGCTAATACGATCAAAAATAGACTACGGGTGTATCGTGTATGCATCTGCCAAAAAACCATATTAAAGCATCTGGATGTGGAACATAATACAGCTTTACGTATCATACTAGGGGCCTATCGAACAACACCGCTGGAAAGCTTATACTGCGAAGCAGGAGAATCCCCACTGCAACTGCGACGAGGCATTCTCAGTTCATCATATATCATTAACACAGCATCAAACCCAGATGCTCCCACTTCTAAAAACCTACGCACCCTCATAGAATACGACAGAAATCCATTGCACATTCCACCACTACACAGAAGAGTTAGATCTCACCTAATACAGTTGAATATAAGCCAAATGCCTCAATTATATCCAGTCAAAGTCTCAAACGCACCACCTTGGGCTGCTCAGCTTCCTCGTGTAAATACCCAGCTAACAGAACTAGACAAGCATAGCACCCCTAACGAAATAATACAGAGAAATTTCTACGAAATTGTTGGTAAATATCTTGACCACAAGCTAATATTTATCGACGCATCGAAACAAGGATCGAACTGCGGAGCAGCAATAGTTACACCAACAACCATCAAGACCTTGAAGATTCCGGACTCAGCCACTACTCTGACAGGAGAGCTTTACGCGATTCTGGAAGCATTAAAATATATAGAAAGCACCGTTGAGCAAAAATGGATAATCATTACAGACTCACTTAGCTCAATATACTCCTTCAATAAGTTATATACAAAAAATCCGATAGCCAAGATAATACAAGAAACAATTACTCAACTCACCAACAATAACCAGATTATAGTACTTATGTGGGCTCCATCGCACAAAGGAATAGCAGGTAATGAAACAGCAGATACAAACGCTAAAAGAGCGGCAACGAACAACAGCATCTGCAACCTCCCAGTTCCAGCATCAGATATGAAGGTATATGTAAAAGGCAAAACAATAGACCAGTGGAATAGTGTGTGGAAGAACAACCCTTCCAAATACAAGAAGTGAAACCCAAGCTCAATGAATTGCAAAGAGTAACAGAAAAAAGGAGACTGCAAGTGATAACAACCCGCTTCCGACTGGGCCACATAAGAATCACCCACAGCTACCTCATCACCCGTGACCCTGAACCAATGTGTTTCATGTGCGAAAGCGTTTTATCGGTAAAACACATTCTAGTGGAGTGCCCAATGTTCGAACAACAAAGACATCAGTTTAGTCTCTGTGGTAAAACTCTAAAAGACATAATTGGAGCCACCTGCAATGTCCGAAATCTAATGTTGTTCTTGAGCCATTGTAATTTAATACATTAAATTTGATTCATGTACACATTAAATCCGCTGCTAATAGCTAATTAGCTGATGCAGCTTATGTAAATAAAAAAAAACTCCATTCGAGCTGCGAAATCCTGAGGACGAAGGCTTTGAAGCAAGCGTAGGTGATATGGATGGTACCTATGCTTGTGATTAATCTTTTGGACAGAAGTTCTGCATATATCAGTTTCTGCTCCAATTTGCCGTGCACTTAAATGGGGATTTTCCTGCAACTTTAATAGAAGCTCCAACTGATTCACCTCATTGGTGAGACTTGGATTATTAATACATTTTTTACTATATTCCACTGCTCCACTTGATTCAAAACATTCTAGTAGTGTGGAAAATGTTTCCGGCCTTGGATGTCGCATATTAGGGTACCGTTACTTATAAATGTGAGATGCTAGGAAACACCTATTCACCATTTCTTCTTTAGAAAAATTCATTTTCAAACACGTTTTTATTATAATGGTCACACAGCTAATTTTACCAGTTTGTAACTAATCAACAATTTATTTGTTTGCAAGGAGGATGCGATATTTTAGGTAATTAAATAAAAGACGCGCTAATAACCCAAGAAATAACCATAAACAAAATTGAATCCAAACTTGCACAAATATACAGGGTGATGCATTTGAAATTTTTGAGAAAAACTACAATTTGCGTTTTTGACCACCCTGTATGAGCAAAACTGAAAAATCGAAAAAAAAATAAACAAGATACAAGCTGAGGTGTGTAAGCTTTTGGTACAAAATTCAGCCCTCTAAATTTCAGAATGGCGGATTGAGGGGTTGCCGAAATGGACGGTTTTTCTAGATAAAACACCTTATATCTCAGTAGCTAATTATCAAAACCCCATAGTATATTATATCAATTTTCTTCTATTGAATTGGTTTATCCAAATATGCAATAAAATTTGAGACATTTGAAAAATCACAACTTTGATATGTAGGTCGAAAATGGGATACCCTGTATAATGGGCAATATTTTAGAAATGTGCCCTCAAAAGTCGTGTATAACATCCCATAAATAGATTTCTCCAAAATGTATTTGTTTATTAGTAATATTCCGTCCACACATGGATGGGAAACCCTGTATATACTATCTAAATGTCATGATCCAAATGCAGTGGTTATCAATGTATGATAATAGAGAGTACGTTTAATTCCAGTTCAAAGGAAGGTTTTTGATATATCAAGCAAGGATACATAATACATATATATATAGAAAAATGACGAGCAAAATCCGCAAAAAGAGGGAAAGTGTATTCGAGCAGAAAATTGGATAGGTAACCCGAGCGATACGTATTTCTGCCTGTTGGCTTCATCACGCCCGAAATAAATGCACATATGTAACTACCAAGATCCATAAACATGCCCATTCATCCGGATACGGCTCTAACCTGAGGAAAGGAAGGTGAAGAGGGAAAAAAAATGACACACGAAGTCACCAACAAGAGCCAACCTGCACATTGTAGTATAAAATGGCTAACCATAACCACGCAACCCGGTTATAGCCACTTGCCATGGTACTTTTAGCCCGAGGGCTCTACAAAGAGAAAATGAACATGCGGAGAAAGGTATATAAAAAATAGAAAAATGATGGACAAAATCCACTTTCCTTCTTTTTACGGATTTTGCCTATTATTTTTGTATTTGTTATGTATCTTTCTCCGCATGATCCTTTTCTCTTTTGTATACTCGTATATATAAAAAATATGAAATAGTTTCATAAGCATAGCTCTCCTAAACATGGTATTTCCTACCCTACTGAGTGAAAATATCCGCTCCATACGAAATGTACCATTCGGACTGTGGCCTTTTAATTTTGATACAATTTTTCCGTATATCGTGGACTAAAAGCAGTTTTGAAAATCGGGCCAGTGGTGGCAGTGTTACGTGACAGTCAAAAAATCCTCAACTTCCTCAAAAGTTTGCTAAGGGTGATTTTTAAATTTCTTATAATTTTTTGGACGTAGGCAAATAATTTAATGACAAAAAAATAGAATTCCGGTTTTCAGCGTTTTTCAGCTTCTTGATAACGATAGTGATGATGATCAAGACATAGGGAACCCAAAAATCTTGTTAATGGGCAGGTTATTTTTCACGTTGCTGATATCACTAATGATTCTTAGAATTTCTGTCTACTTAGAATTTCCGACGACATTCTAAAAACTTCACAAATTGAACAGTCGGCTTCCAAAATATTTGAGACATGCAAATGAGAGTGATATAAAAATGATTAAAATATTTTTTTGTTTTTCAGTACCTGCTAAGCAGGTATGGGCTGTAGCTGGGGACAACGCCGAACTACCATGTGATATCACACCCGCATTGCCTGGAGACAACGTTACCATGCTTTTCTGGTACAAAGATGGAATGGGCATGCCGTTGTATAGGTAAGTTGGAAAACAGATTTTTATCGGAAGGCACCACATAATATGATACTTTTTTATATTGGAATTATGGTAATCAGTTAAGATCATTCCACTTACGAGGTCTATAAATTAAATAATGAGGCTGGCAACGTAGCAACCGATCTGGCAACAGTGGAGGCGTCGGGCTTGGAGGAGAGACAGGCAAACATATGATCCGCATTCAGTACAAGTTTGGACTCGCTCGAGTATTTGGTTGTCCGTAGCGTGAAAGAGTATTTCCTATTGTGTTCTAAAAATGATCAATTTTGAGCAACGGTGTGCGGCATATTACAACGGAAACTCTTGCTAAACTTCAGCATTATTACGGAGATACTGTTTTGTCAAGAGCCCAGGTTTTTAGGTGGTTTAAGGAATTTTCAGAAGGGAGAGAGTCGATTAAAGATGAACCACGAAGCGGAAAGCCTTCATCTTCAAGAACCGATTAATATATCGACAGAATTCGGGATCTTGTGGGTTCAGATCGTCGGTTAACAGTCAGAATGATCGAGGAAGAGTAAATCAAGGACAACTGAGTGTTGTCTCACGATTACGCTCCTGTCCACACAGCAATGTCAATAAACGCGATTTTGGCCATTAAAAACATTCCTGTGGCCCTTCAGCCTCCTAATTCACCCTGTGACTTTTTTCTCTTCCCGAAGTTGAAAAATCACCTCAAGGAACTCCTTTTGCGCAGTTGAAAACATTCAGATGGCTGTAACCGTCCAGCTGAAAGCTATTTCAGTATCGGAGTTCCAACACTGCTATGAGGAGTGGATAGAACCGTCTCCAGCGCTGTGTGGCTTCAGAAGGAAGTTATTTTGAGGGCGACAATATAAAATTGTAATTAAGTTTGAAACAAAAAATTAATCACTTTATTTATAGACCTCGTAGACCCTACTGATAATGAGCTCCTTGCACGTTGTCAACCAGTGTTTTATTAGGGTGGTTCATACACGAATGTATTCTGGCAAATAGCATGGCTATCGTTATCGCTAGACACAAATGGAAAACCATACAACTACAGTATATTTTTCATTAATTTAGTTCATCGTAGAAGTAGAGCCCAGAAGTATCACAAGTAACACAGGTGTAGTTATTTACCATTCGTATTCTGCAGCTTCCTCAAAGGTATGCCTTTAAAGTGTAAAAGCTTCAATCCATTATCAACTGAGTTAAAGAAAGATTTACTTTACTCACGCGCATTATTTATGGTAATTTTTTAATGGGTCTCATTTTTGAAAAAACCTGTCATGGAAACATTTCAATTGCTTCCACGTGAAACATATTCGAATATTACTTTCATAGCTTACAGACGCTAGTACGCTGCGTAATTGAAGTAATAATAGGCTTCTAAGTATCTAAGATTTCCTGGTAAAGACGCCAGAGGTCATCATAACTTGTACAATTACGTATGAATCATAATAATTCTCAGATAGATGCGTGCCAACTCTACGAATCCGCTACGAGATTATTATTAGCAACGCGAATTATAGCCTGTTGCATTTAGATAGTAAATAACCTGATTAACGCCAATTGGTTACAAGTTTTAATTAACGGAAAACATATAATAATTTATAATATATAGTAAGTTATAGCTGCACCTTGTTGACTGACCCGACAGATTCTCGCTCCTGCTTCAGAATTGCCAAGGAGGAAAACATTTTATAAGGGGTGCTGGATGGTATATCGCAATTTTTTGAGGTCAGTATACTTATAAGCTCACAACCGCGGTTATTCTACACACCTATTCGCGATATTTCAGGAATTATAGATTTGTAGATAAATGTTTTCTATATGTGCCTCCATTTACTATCTGGGCTCACCCCTCGGCGTACCGGTCGCATTGACTGTTCCGCTCGTACTGCAGCGGTGTCACGGGGAGCGTAACCACCGGTAGAGCATGGAAACAATGTCTACAGACTAAATGTATGGGCCTGTTTGACTAACTTGAACCATTTAGCTTCCTTATTATACATGCTTGTAACGATTTTTTTTCTCATATGGCACCTTGTGCTAGGAAGTGCAGAGTCAATCTACTTGACGTTCTTTTTTCTATTATCAACATATGAATTGACATAATTTGCTTAGTGTTTGCCCTTCCTATCTACCGGTGTGATAGCGCTAAGTAATAAAAAACGCAATACATTTAAAGAAACGTAAATTTAAAATAACGGAACTGATAGTGCCGTTTTGCACCGACTACTGGGAGAACCTGGCATCTCTTAAATGAGATCCAATATTAGGCATTTATACAAATTATAATATCATCAAGGTGTATCCCAGTTTGCTTAAGATAATGGTGGATTCGAAGAAAAAAATAATGTCAGATGTTAAGTATCGCACTTAGATCTTTGATCAACGCCCTTGTCTTTATGATGCTAAAAATTTGGGAATGCCTAAATGTCCATGGAGCAAAAACTTTAAAGACCTGAATGTAAACAAAAAGAAAGTTTCAATCCTGGTTTTAAACAACAGTAGGTATAATGCAACAAATCTGCAATAACTCCGAAGTCGACTTTTGAAACAATTAAAAAAGAATCGGGCGATTGTTTATAGTAACGTGCCTCGACGATAAACCTGTAATGCTGTATTTGGCTTATATGTATAACGATCTGCAGTTATATTTGGGAGCCGTGAATGTTTCGAGTTGACAGAAAACAAAATAAAAATCGTCATTTGAAATGCCGCTATATTTAGTGACGCATCTTTCCTGTTTTCCAGGAACCCGGTTAGCAACTGTAGTCTGAGTAATATAAATTATCTTCTTTGTGCCTTTGGTGACCACACCACGTTTTTGGAGCGAAATAATATATGAAGCTATAATAGCAGATTCGTTTTAGACTGTGTCCTATAGGCAGTTATTCCATGAGTGTATACGTACGTTAAAGTTAGTGTACCACTAATGCTAGAATCTCCTTATGAAACAACAGCGGCGTCCAATGACAACGAACCACGAAAATGACACCAACTCTGATATCTAACTCCGTTATACGCTACTGGATATTATAATTTCATAACTATTCCTTTAAAAAGGTAGAAGTGGCCTTCCACTATATCTAATCGTACACGACTGCGAGTACCAAAATTTCAAAACACGATACTGTTGAAGAGATCTACTGTATCTTGACAGATCCATCCGAATGCTTCAACCTGCGTTACTACTGTGGATTATTCCCAACCTTTAATATTAAAATAAGTTGTTTGCAACATTAATACGACTTTCTCTTTTTGCATACAAATCTGTCGTTTTCTTATGGTAGAAACGTATCTTCTCTTTCTCTTAACAAAATAGTAGAATAGATTGAATAACTAAAGTCTAAGTAAAGTTTCAAGCCACTAATTATTTATACATACTATATAGGGTTAGAAATCAATTGGGTAGATAGCATCTGATCTGGATACCAAACTGAATTTTGGTATGGTAAATTTAATTCTGATCGAAACAGCGAAAAGAAAACAGAGACGTAAAAAAGTATGAAATCTTATACAGGGGGTTCAAGAAGACGAACCAATATTTCTAGCGCAGGAAGTACCTACAAAAATAACAAAAAAAGTTCTTATAAATATGGGTCCCTACCTAATGCATCTAGGGTGATTAGGTTTTATTTATATACAGGGTGGCCCATCCATGTGTGGACGGAATATTACTCATGGAAAAATCTATTTATGGGATGTCATACATGACATTTGAGGGCACATTTTTAAGATATTGGCCTTTATACAGGGTGTCCCAATTTCTACCTACATATCAAAGTTGTGATTTTTCAAATCGAATGCCTCAAATTTTATTGCATATTTGGATAAATCAATTCAAAAGAAGAAGATTGATATAGCATACTATGGGGTGTTGGTAATTAGCTACTGAGATGTAAGGTGTTTTGTCCAGAAAAACCGTCCATTTCGGCAACCCCTCAATCCGCCATTTAGAAATTTAGAGGGCTGAATTTTGTACCAAAAGCTTACACACCTGAGCTTGTATCTTGTTTATTTTTTTTTTCGATTTTTCAGTTTTGCTCATATAGGGTGGTCAAAAACGCAAATTGTAGATTTTCTCAAAAAATTCAAATGCATCACCCTGTATATTTGTGCAAGTTTGGATTTAATTTTTTATGAGCTTTTTCTGATACTAGATACAAGAGTTTTTACGGCTATTTTTTCGGTTATTAGCTCGTCTTTTATGGAACGGCTTAATTCCCTAAAATATCGCATCATCCTTGGAAACAAATAAATTGTTGATTAGCTACAAACTGTCCAAATTAGCTTTGTGAGCATTATAATAAAAACGTGTTTAAATATGAAAGAAATGGTGAATATGGTATTCGTTTTGGGCGAAACCCAAAGAAATAGTTTCCTAGCATATCGCATTTACGAGGGATGTCTTTTAAGTTTTGCATGTAGAAACATAGTAGGCCGCGCGGATCGAACCCCACTACTGAATCTAAACCTCACTCTTTAGTAAACTTAAATTCAAAGTTTCACAACAATACGTGCAATGTTCTTACTACAGTGAATTTTTAAGTGTCACCAAGTCATTAGAAAAATGGAACTTAACCGACAACATTTTCGCGCCATAATTTATTACAACTTTCAGAGACAATTATCGCAACAAGAATGCCTTGCTGAGTTACTGTCTGTTTTCGGCAACGAAGCGCCACATCAGTCGATAATTTTCCGTTGGTATGGAGAATTCAAACGTGGAGGGGTGTCTTAGCGACTATCCCAGGGTGGGTGCACCAAAAACGGCAGTCAACCAGGAAAACGTCGATGCTGTGCGCAAACTCATCATTGAAGCTAGACATATGACATATCGCGAGCTTGAGGCGTCCTTGAAGATCTCAAAGACATCAATTCAAAACATTTTTAATGAAGAAATAGGAGTAAGAAAATTAGTTTCTCGTTAGATACCCCACCCGTTGACTGAAGAGCAGAAACCAGCCAGGGTTAATCGGTGTCAAAAAACGCTTGACCGTTTCAATTCCTGA